ACCTGGAGACCAAGGCCACCATCCTGCCTCTGCCCTCTCACAGCAGTGTCCCCATGCAGGGCCTGGTGGCCCGTGCCTCCAAGTATGACTTCTTCATCCAGAAACTGAAGACAGGTGAGCACTTGCGACCCCAGAACGGGAGCGCCTACAAGAAGCCATCCAAGTACGACCTGGAGAACGTCAAGTACCTGCACCTCTTCAAGCCCGGGGAGGGCAGCCCCGACATGGGCGGGGCCATTGCCTTCAAGACGGGCAAGGTGGGGCGCCCCTCCAAGTATGACGTCCGGGCCATCCCGAAGCCGGGCCCCACCAAGGTTCCGCCCACCCCCAGCCTGGCTCCTGCACCCCTCGCCAGCGTGCCCACTGCTCCCAGCGCCCCCAGCTCGGGCCCTGAGCCACCTGCCTCCCTGCCTTTCAACACTCCCGAGTACCTGAAGTCGACCTTCTCCAAAACAGACTCCATCACCACGGGGACCGTCTCCACTGTCAAGTAAGGCACGCCCCACCCACACTGCCAGCCCTGAGCCTGGGACTGGAGTGGCCCAGAGGCCCACTTCCTGCCTCTGAAGCTCTTGTTTATGGACACACACACTCACACCTTGTGCACATCCACTGTGCACTCAGATTCTCACACAGGTGCTTCCATACGTACGCGCGCACCCACTCACACACACACACACTCCTCTGTCTACATAATCGCTCAGACTCAGTTGGTGGACTCATGCACTACACATCATGCTGTGCACACATGCTCACGCTGGGTACAGGCAGACCTTGTTTTATTGTGCTTCACTTTATTGCACTTTGCAGATATTGCAGGTTTTGTTGTTGTTGGTTTTACAAATTAAAGGTTTGTAGCAACCTCTGCGTTGTAAAATGACGTTTAGCATTTTTTTTAGCATAAAGCATTTTTTTATGGAGGTCCTGGGGATTGAACCCAGGACGTCACGCATCCTAAGCACATGCTCTACCATTGAGCTACGTCCCTACCCCTTAAGTATTTTTTAATTAAGGTGTGTGTATTGCTTTTTACACATGGTGCTATTGCACACTTGATAGACTACAGTATAGCATAAACATAACTTTTCTATGCTTTGGGAAAACAAAAAATGCACATGACTCACTTTATTGCAATACTCACTTTATTGCGATGATCTGGAGCCAAACCTGCAACATCGCTGAGGTCTGCCTGTACTTCTGTACATGTGCTCATCTGTTAACACATGCACTGCATAGTCCTGGTACCCCCATCTGCCCATGACTTCCTCTGCCTGCCACCCCAAGGGCCAGTTGCAGGTTTGTGGTTGGCTGGCTGGGAAAGCCCTACTCTGGGTTGGGGGTTCTGCGGTCCAAGCTGGTGGCCATGGCTCCCAGGTTCAGAGCCTGGGCCATGGGAAGGCAGCAAGAGAAGGTAGGAGGCTGGGGTGGGGTGGGCACACCCAGCGTGAAGCCCTGGGCAGTGGTAAAATGATTGTGGGGCTAAGCAAGACCCTTCCCCCTGGAGGCAGGGCCAGAGACCGGGAGCAGATCTAGGGAGCTGCCCTCTGCATGGGGGGAGCTTTTCCAACCACTCAGCCGTACTTGCTTGGTGCTGCTCTTGCCTTCTCCCCTGGGGTCCCCTGGTACCCACTCTGTGCAGCCTCCTGACTCCCTGTGTACAAGGGGGCATCAGGCCCCAGCTTCCCAGGCTTCCTACCTTGTTGGACTCTAGGCCAGGCCCATGCCCACAGCCCTGCCCTGGCCGAAGGTGGGCTAACTGAACCTGGGCCTGTCTTCTGCGAGAAGACTTTTCCAGTCCCACCCTGAGTGCCCGGAACACTACAGAGTGAGGGAGAGAAGGGTCAGGGCCTCCGGGCAGGGAGCTGCCCCCAGACACTCCTGGGGCATGAGGCCACCGTCTGCTAACCAGCTGTGCCCTGTGTGTCTCTCACCAGGAATGGATTGCCCACAGATAAACCAGCTGTCACCGAAGACGTAAACATTTACCAGAAATATATTGCCAGGTAGGCTTCTGGGGAGGAGACTGCCATGAAGAGAAGGTGGGGTGAGGGCAGAAATGCCTGGGGACTGTGGGGCCATATGTCCATCTGACTGCTAGTCCAAGGTGCCTGCTGCCTCCCCAGCCCCACACACTCCTGCTCTCAGACTCCCCCGAGGGACTACCCTCTGCCCCGCCTCAGAGCCCCCGCCCCCTTAACGTGGTCCAGGCCATATGCCCATAAGCAGCTTATGCCCCAGGCGGAGCTGGGGTACCCGAAAGGGCCCGATGGATGGGTGGGGTGCAGGCCAGTGCGGAACAGTCAGGGATGAGGAGGGGTGAGGGCAGCTGCCCTCGCTGGTGTGGCCTCAGTGTGCTCCCCTGGGGCCAGGCCTTCATCCTCACCCCCTGGCTCTAGACCTGCCCCTTTACATCCTTAAGGAAGTGGGATTGGCAGGGGAAGAACCTTCCCCTCATCAGACTCGCCCAGATCACACCCCTGGCGACCGGCACCTGGAGGGGCAGCACGTGGCAGGGGCTGTGCCCTGAGAGCCGTCTTTCTGCTGACCTTCCACCTTCTCCCCGTCCCGCTCTGCATCTCCCGTCCCCGTCCCTCCCTGTCTTTCCAGCTCTGCTCTGCTCTGTTATTATTATTATCATTATTATTAGTGCTTCAGCAGATGGCCCTTTTGGCAACTTCAGCTTAAATATTTATTTGCCAGTGGTTCTCCCCCTTACGAGGGGGTTTCTGTCTCCTCTCTCCCTCAGTCTCACACCATCCTTGGTGGGGCAGGCAGGCGGAGCCCACCACCTTGTCCACAGTTGTCAAGGTGTGCTCTCCCCGGGTGGCCATCATCCAGGCTGTCAGAACCACACCCCGGCGGCTTCAGGGCCTGGAGGAGGCACGGGTTTTCTGGGAGGTGGGCTGTGGCCAGGCAGCATGGGGCTCCCGGCCACGGAGTTGACGGAGAGCGTGCTCCTTGCCATGAGAAGCCAAACAGATGCTGTGCTTTAAAAATTCATAACTCTGGACTGTTTCAAGTGTCAGGAAAGCCCAGGACAGAGAGAGCCCTTTAATACTTCTCAGCACCAGAGCCCTGGGCTGGCCCACCTGGGGTCCCTAGCGCCAGCGCTGGGTGGGGAGGGGGTGGGCAGCACCTGCAGAAACGGCAGGTGGGCCACCTGGGGGCTCCTGCCTTCACCTTCTCACCCCGTCCCAGTCCAGGTCCCTTCCTCTGTCTCTGTTCTGACTTCTGACTTGGCCCGGCTTCCTCCTCCCCACCTTGTGCCAAGCCCACCTGGCACTCACGCCCAGGGCAGATAAGGATGGCCTGCCACTCGGTGGGTCTAGGATTCCCAGCAGGCCCAGTCACTCGCCCAGCATTCTCAGCCTCTACTGCTTCACCTCAGGGGATCACCTCTGCCCCTGCACGTCTCCACAAGGGGCCCAAGCAGCAGCACTTCTCTAGAGCACGGGCACAGACTCTCCTCGGCCACTTCGGCTGAGGACCCTGCAGCTGGCCTCCAGAGAGGCCTGAGTCCGCCCCCTCTTCTCTGTAGATTCTCAGGCAGTCAGCACTGTGGACACATCCACTGCGCCTACCAGTACCGCGAGCACTACCACTGCCTCGACCCCGAGTGCAACTACCAGGTATGTCCGCAGGCACCAGCCCTGCGCCTGTGCCGGCGTCACGGCCAAGGGGCCTTTTCAAAGTAGGACGGGGTTGCTCCATCCTGCTCGGGCCACTTGAACCTAACTCGGGCAGGCAAAGAGCCCAGAAAAACTACCAGCCTGTCCGTGTTCCCAGATTGCTGCCCACAGGAATCTAGTAGGATCTGGAGCCACCTGCGTCCCAGCGAGAACAGTTCGAGCTCCCATTCACTGAGTCCACCGTGCACCAAGGACTGTGCCAGACAGCCTGGGCACCTTACCTAACTGATTCTTCCCAGTGGCCTTGAGAGGCTGGTATTACGGTGCCGTCTTATAGATGATTATGTTGAGGTTCAGATAGATTGTCCCTTATGTTCAAAGCCACTCTCTGGTAAGTGCAGAGCTAGTGAACGAGAGGGGAGTGGAGGCCATCTGCACCGCGCTGCTCCCTCTGTCTCGCCAGGGAACCCAGCCTGGCAGAGCCCGTAGGTGGCACTAGACATAATGACTTGTCGCCTTTCAGAGCCCCTACCTTCAAGGCCTGGCCCAATTCATCCTTTCTGCTTCTGAGCATAACTATTGGGAAGCTGTAGGTCAGGGAAGAGTCCGTGTTTCTGGAACCTTTGGACTTACTCCCTCCGCATCCAGTTTGCTGGCCTTGGGGCCGTCTAGGCTACCTCGACCCCAAAGAGGGTTATTGATAAGGAGGCCTGAGGGCCGTGGGGCCAGGCCCAGCCTCCTGCCCACCCGGCCCTCTCCCGGCAGAGGTTCACGAGCAAGCAGGACGTGATCCGGCACTACAACATGCACAAGAAGCGGGACAACTCCCTGCAGCACGGCTTCATGCGCTTCAGCCCGCTGGACGACTGCAGCGTCTACTACCACGGCTGCCACCTCAACGGGAAGAGCACCCACTACCACTGCATGCAGGTGCCCCGCCCACCTCGGCCCGCCCCACCCCCGCCCAGAGGGCAGGGCCCTTCCCCCGCCCCACCCCGCCTCCCTTCCCAGGGCTGGGCAGCCAGAGGAGGGCGTCCTGGGGGCTCAGGCTTGGGCAGTGTCTGGTGGGCCAGGGTGGGGCCTTCCCCATGGCCATACTTGGTGCGGGTGAAATTCAGCGAGCTGTTTATACAGACCGACATTTTTTAGGCTTTAACACCAAGAGCAGTATTGCAAATGATTCCTGAGGAGGTTTTTGTTTAATTCTTTGTTTTAATGCCACGCAGAGTCTGGGCTTTTTCAAGGTGTCAGGTCCAGGGGGAGCAACTTTGGGTTGCAAATAGCAGCGGGAGCGCCTCCCCCGGTATTTGTCAGGGGGTTGTTATGGCCTCTGTGAAACAACCTGGCCCAGGAGCAGAGGGGGGCTCGCTCCCTGGGCGCTGAGATGGTGCAGACGCTGGCACGGCCCAGCCCTCAAGAGTGCTCAGATTCCACTGGTTTTTACTCAATATGGCAACACTGCCTGCCTTGGCCCAGCTCGGGTGGGGTAGGGAGGGCCCTGTGCCAGGAACCGTCCGCCAGTCAAGTCCCTGGGCTAAAGGTGACTGCCAGGCCCCAGGGTCCAGCCCTGCTCACCCTCGGGGGGTTTAGAGGTAGAGCCACAGACTGGGAACTCCAGAGTCACCTCCTACAGGACGAGGCTCCCAGTCCCATGTTGGGGAGACACCCAGGAATCTCTGAAGACAGCTCGACACCCAGCACGGGCCAGCCCTAGGGGCCTGCGGGGTCATTAGAGATTTTCTTCTGCGGTTCCTACATTATCTTTCTCAGTCCCACCAGTTGGATGTTTATAGGTACCAAAGCTCCCCTGAGCAGGGTCAGTGGCCCACGACCCTGTGGCCCCAGCTGCACCCAGCAGAACAGCCGCTCTGGCCTCAGCTCCCCTGACTGCCATTCTGGTCCCGGCAGGTGGGCTGTAACAAGGTGTACACGAGCACATCGGACGTGATGACCCACGAGAACTTCCATAAGAAGAACACCCAGCTCATCAACGATGGCTTCCAGCGCTTCCGGGCCACTGAGGACTGTGGCACGGCCGACTGCCAGTTCTACGGGCAGAAGACCACGCACTTCCACTGCAGGTGAGCGGGAGGCAGCAGGGAGGTTCTTGTCTTGGGGAGGGATGGAAAGCAGGGAACCAGGTCAGAGGGTGGCTCAAGGGCCCTGCCTCCTCAGGGAAGCAAGAATAGGAGTGGAGGGCTGCTCAGTGGCCCCACCTTAGTGTCCAGCCTGGTCTTCCACCCGGAGGCCCATCCCTCCCAGGGCCGCAGTGGGAGCAGGGCAAGGCCTTCTCCTGGCCCCACAAGGCCCCATTACAGGCTTCCGTTGTCCCGTCCAGGCGCCCCGGCTGCACATTCACCTTCAAGAACAAGTGTGACATTGAGAAGCACAAGAGCTACCACATCAAGGATGACGCCTACGCCAAGGATGGCTTCAAGAAGTTCTACAAGTACGAGGAGTGCAAGTACGAGGGCTGCGTGTACAGCAAGGCCACCAACCACTTCCACTGCATCCGCGCCGGCTGCGGCTTCACCTTCACCTCCACCAGCCAGATGACCTCACACAAGCGCAAGCACGAGCGCCGGCACATCCGCTCCTCGGGCTCGGGCGTGCTGGGGCTGCCGGCCTCGCTGCTGGGCGCGAAGGACACGGAGCACGAGGAGTCCAGCAACGACGACCTGGTCGACTTCTCTGCCTTGAGCAGCAAGAACTCCAGCCTGAGCGCCTCCCCCACCAGCCAGCAGTCCTCTGCTTCCCTGGCCGCTGCCACTGCCGCCTCCGAGGCTGTGCCCAGCGCCACGAAGCCTCCCAACGGCAAGATCTCGGGGCTGCTGGCCCAGGGCCTGCCTGGGTCCATCCCCCTGGCGCTGGCCCTCTCCAACTCGGGCCTGCCCACCGCTGCGCCCTACTTCCCCATCCTCCCGGGCCGGGGCAGTGCCTCTCTGCCTGTGGGTGCCCCCGGCCTCATGGGTACCATGTCATCTGGGACAGCAGCCTCGGTCACCCCTGACACGCCCACTCTGGCTGCCTCAGGAACTGGTGACTCGGCCCCGGCAGCAGCTGCCTCTGTCCCGGTGCCCCCAGCCTCCATCATGGAGAGGATCTCTGCGAGCAAGGGCCTCATCTCGCCCATGATGGCCAGGCTGGCAGCGGCTGCCCTCAAGCCCTCTGCCACCTTTGACCCAGGTGAGCAGCCTGGGCACTGCCCAGGAATCAAGTACCTCTCGGACCCCAGGAGCTCCCTGGTCTCAGTGCAGAGCAGAGCAGGGCAGGGGATGTTTGGCAGAGGTGTCTTTCTACTCCTTGCCCCTCTCTTTGCCTGGTCTCTGCCTCCATCCTGTTTATTTCCTATTTAGGGGCCCTCTTTCTGGCCTGCCCACCCCAGGCAGCTCTTGCTTCTCTTTGTTCGTCTGTGAAATGGGGACAATAATCCCTGCCCCATGGGGCACCTGTGCATTCCAGGGCACCTGCTAGCTCCGCTGCCCCCGTCTTCCCCCTGCCATGTCACAAGTCCAGCCCCTGGTGGGAACAGTCCCAGAGCTTCCCTGGGACCTCCTCCACGTGGCTGGGAGGGGACGTGAGTCCAGCCCAGTGGCAAGGTGGCCACACTACAAGGGTGCTCAGGGGAATCATGCCGGGATTCACCCTCAAGGCCAAGGGCGCCCTTCCCAGGCTCTCCCTCGTAATCTCCTGTCCAGTAACACTTTCTGTTCTAGTGGAAATGTGCTGCTTTACACTGTCCGATGTGGTAGCCACTGGTCACATGGCTATTGAGTGCTTGAAATTGGCTAATGTGACCCAGGAACTGGATTTCAATTGGCATTTCTTTAACTTGAGCCACACCTGGCCAGTGGCTTGCCAGGTTGAAGTCACATCTCTGTCCTTCCTCTGGCTCGTCATGGGGAGCAGTTCTCCTTTCTCTCAAATTTTCTGCTCTTTAAAAAAGTTTTTACTTTTCTCTGGATTGTTTTTGGCTTTTATGTCTACCTCGCTCCTGTCTCTCTGCGTTCCCCCATCCGGATAATAAGCATTAGTTGAATCCTTAAGAAGAGTTCGATTCTCGTCTGGGATGTGGCTCACTTCATTCATTCATTCATTCATTCATTCATCAACCACTAGTGCTTGCTAAGAGCAGCTTACTGGAGAGCCAGGCACTGGGCTGGTGCTGGAGACATGGCAGGGAAGATGACAGTCAAAGTCCTGCCTGTGGAGCTGATGGAACAGTGTCAGGGGTCCCCAAATACACCCCTTAGGAGGTGGCCAAGTTGAGACTTGACCTCAGCAGTCTGGCTCTTGAGCCCATGAGACTGTCTCAAGATCCGGCAAGACTGAGGGTTCCTGCAGCCCAGCCCAGGTCTCTGCCCAGGCTCTCCAGAGAGACCAGTGCTTGGCAGTAGGATCTGGGTCCTGGGGACCTTGGGCAGGTGACTTTGGGGAGCTCCTGGTGAGTTCTGAAAACTATCATGTTCCCAGTGGGACACCCCTGTCAGCTGGCAGCTTGGGATGACCCACCTTCCATTCCAAGTGTGGTAGAGACCAGCAGGGCTGCCCAGGGCCAGGTGCCTGCAGTCTGGGGCAGAGCCCTCTCCAGGGCTACCCTGGGCTCAGTGGCCAGACTGTCAAGTACTTTCTTTTCATTAGAAAAAGCTTTTTTCCCCGAAAAGAAAGGTCAAGTGAAGGGGAGGGCACTATTTTCCTTTATTTTTTAATAAAATGCCACTTGCTGTCTGTGAAGCAGCTCTCTGTCAGCTGCAGTGCCTTGGGGCAAATTAATATTTCAGTCACTTGGGGATTGTGGGGGAAGGCTCGGTGGACCTGGTCCTGTCAGCAACTTCTTTTGCCCTGTTCTGCTTGGCCTCCTGAATCCTCTGCCCACCCGACTCCAGCCTTTCCCCGCTATGCCCACACCCCGCCGGCTCCCCCCACCCCACTCGGGTCCAGCCCAGCCTGGCCAGGGTGGGCCTCATATCCCTGCCCTGGACAGCTTGACGGGCGAGGTCACATAGTTTGAACCACTCTGATTGGCTGTCAGCTTCCATAGCCCTGACACAGCAGATGCCCCTCCTGGGCATGCTCAGTGGAAGGCAGGGCCGTCGCCCCGGCAACAGTGGGGACGGGACCTGCAGAGGGGGCGCAGCTCCCAGTCTAGATCTGCCACTTTCCCTCAGCATTAACAGAGTCTTTAATAGAAGCCTAAGCGGCAGCCCCGCAAATTGACTGTGACAGTCGGTGGAGAAAATGAAGGGCCCCCACCCCCGCGCCAGCCCCCTCCCCAGCCTCCCGCCCTTCTCCTCCAGGAGGCCCTGAGCCAGGACAACTTTGACATAATTTTGCAATAATTATCACTTGAAGAATTGCCACACAGGGGGAAGTGTCACAAGCGATCATGTCAGTGGGGAGAACCGCTGACCAGCAGCCCGGGCTCCCCAGGGGCCCCAGCCCACCCAGCTCGCTGCCCTCCCTTTGGGCGGTTCCGGTTTGTGCCCACATGTAGCCCTCGGTCCCTCTAACAAACACCATCTTCCCTCCCGTCCCCTGTAGGAAACGGGCAGCAGGCCACCCCTGCCAGGTTCCCCCCAGCCCAGGTGAAGCAGGAGCCTGGTGAGAGTGCCGGCGCCCCAGGTCCCCACGAGGCCTCCCAGGACCGCAGTTTAGACCTGACCCTGAAGGAGCCCAGGTGAGGCGAGGCTCAGACCTCCCAGCTCTGCGCCCCTGCAGGAGGCTCTGCAGACGGCACCCTCAGAGCCAGACTCCGCGGGGCCAGGGGCCAACCCCTACTGACAAGGGGTCAGCCTCCTGCCCGGGCAGATGCAGCAGGCGGGGCTGGAGCCACAGGGGCCGGTTGGGAGGGGTGAGTCTCTGGGCTCAGTCCCACGTATGTCTGAGCTAAAGCCCCTTGGTTTGTGTGTTCCAGTAATGAATCAAATGGCCACGCAGTCCCGGCAAATTCATCTCTTTTATCCTCGCTTATGAATAAGGTAAGAACCATCCATCACACGCCTCCCATTCCCCCGCCCGGAGAAATTAAAGCTGTGCTGGGGGGTGGGGGGGATGTGTTTGTTTTTTAATGTTTTGCCTCTAATAAGATGAGTTTGTACCATTTAAATTTTGAGGCCATTTTTCATCGGATATAATTTCAGAGCCACTGCTTACAAATTAATTTAATGAACTGGCTGAAGAAATATATTCCAGCCTCTGACACCCTTTTTTTCCCTTCAAACGGAGGGCTCCAAAAGCTTTTCCAGAGCCCTCTAACTTCTTTCGCTCTTAGTTATTAATTTTATTTATTTTATATATTTTTTGTTTGTTTAAAAAGGTGGTGGGGGGACTAAAGTGGGAGCAAAGCATCAATTCCCACTTTTCGGGTTGAGTAATGGTCTCGGACGCTTTCGCAGAGGTCGCTCCAGAATATTTATTTTAAATAATGCAGGGTCTTTGTAAATTATACATCATCTCAAATATATTTTCCCCCTTCACATGATAAATTTGACTACAGAAAGATTAATTTGGTTACTGTACACAAGTGACTGTTGAGGAGGGAGCTGGGCCTGGACCGGACCTCACCGGGTGGGGGTCTGGCTGGGCCCTTGACGGGGTAGGAGCCTCCCGCTGGCCTCTGCCCCGAGCCCTGCCCTCCGCCTTCTCTCCCTCCCCTGCTTGCTCCCTTGCTCCCCTTTTCCGTTCTTGGGTCACTGCCCCCTGCACCCCCTTGTTCCTTCTTGTCAGAGCCCGACACCCAACACCCAGCGTGGGTCGAGCCTTGACGAGGGCTCCCCCGCCCAGTTCCCCTCCTCTCCCTGCAGCAGTGAGCCTGTCTGGATCTCACCCTGTGAGCCTCCCTCCCTCCCTCCCTCCCTGCTCCTCCTTTGTGTGCCTTCTCTTGTTCTCAAGGAATTCGTGGGGGTTCCCCCCATCCCTCCTCCTCCTGCACTTCTTTTGAAAACCTGGCAGGAAAATAACCAGGGAGCCGCAAAGTCTGGGGAAAGCTGGGCTGGAGTGTGTGCCCTGAGTCTCGGCCTCAGATTGAGTGATGGCTCCCTAGGAGCACAGGGTCTGTGTCAAGGAGACTGGGCAGCTCCACAGGGCCAGGGAGGCGCTGCAGGCTGCCCACGGCAGCATCCATTCAGAGAGGGCTCTTCTGTAGCCAAAGCCGCGTGGAGTCGGGCCTCCTCTCCTGGCTGCCAGCACCGTGATGCTCTGGTCAGTTGTGAGAGGTCTGAGCAGCCGAGAGCTGCTGCTGCTCCCAGGGCAGTCAGGTCAGTGTCCAGAGGTTCCTCAGCCTGAAGCATGGGCCTGTCCTCCTCACAGATGTCTCAGGGCAACCCCAACCTCGGCAGCCTGTTGCACATCAAGACAGAAGCGGAGGGGAGCCCCGCCGGGGAGTCCTCGCCCTTCCTGGGCAAGGCCGTGAAGGCCTTGGTTCAGGAGAAGCTATCAGAGCCCTGGAAGGTGTACCTTCGCAGGTGAGGGGCTTGCGGGGCGAGCAAGGGAGAGGGAAGAGCCATGCCCACCATCCCGGTGGCCAGTGTCCAGCCCCACCTCCCACCCAAGCCTCACCAGAGCCCCAGGGTCTCCTCTAAGCTGCTGGCTCCTCTGCCAGGTTTGGTACCAAGGACTTCTGCGACGCCCAGTGTGATTTCCTTCACAAGGCCCACTTCCACTGCGTGGTGGAGGAGTGCGGCGCGCTTTTCAGCACCCTGGACGGGGCCATCAAGCATGCCAAGTGAGTAGGGGTCCCCAGGGGCCCCTCTATCATAGCCCCATTCGTCCTAGCCCGGCTCTGGGCTGGGTGGGGCTGGGGGGCTGCACAGACCTCTAACCGCCTTCCAAGCAGGACCCATGTGCAGTTCTGACCAGACCTCAGGAGCTGCGCTGGCTTCTCAGAAGATGCTGCCTGGAAAAAGACAGGCTCCCCCATCCTTCCACCGGCTCAGCCCCCAGCCAGGTCCCCTGAGCCCACCCAGGCTCCTCCGTGAGCAACAGCTGCATCTGCACCCAGCCCAGTGCAGCCATCAGCCCTCCCACAGGTGCTCCCTGCAGAGTCAGCTGGAGAGACCAGCTCTGACCCACACGGGGGACCCTAGGTGAAGGCCTTTCTAAGGCACAGTACTGCATTTGTTTATTCTCTTTGACTAAAAATAATGAAATTAATTTGTAAAATTCATTGAGCTGAAAAGCAGCAAGCCCAGCCGCCTGTTGTCATTGAACCCCAAACTTGCAAACATTTAAAACAGATCTCCACTGCTCTCTAAGCCCTGGGTCAGGCTCTTCTCACTGCGTAGGCAGCCCCTGCTGCTGGTCTGCAGAAGAGCAGTCTTTGAATCCTGAGACACACCTTTATATCTTAGAACACGTTCTGAAAGGAAGGTTGGGCTTCAGGAGCCAGAGCCTGCTGTCCCCCACCCCATTCTGAGTAGGGAGGAGCCAGGGACAGCACATTTGGAAGGTCACAAGTAGGAAGGTGTAGTTAGGGCAGAGCCAGGAGCCCAAGTTCAAGATCAAAGGACACAGTAGTTTGCTCTCAGTCCTTCCCTCCTGGTGAGTGGCCTTTGGCACCTGGCACTGAAGATCAGGGGGGCCCCTGGGCTGGGGTTGGGGTCATAGGCAGGCAGGCAGGCATGCCAGGGAAGGACTCTTTCCACTCCCCACCTGAGACCCCCTCTTCTGCCTCTCGCAGCTTCCACTTCCGGACCGAGGGAGGAACAGTGAAAGGAAATGCAGAGGCTTCCTTCCCGGCCTCGGCTGCTGAGACCAAATCTTCCTTGGCCCCCTCATCCCCTCCAGCACCTCCCATCACCACGGCCGCGGTTTCCTCCCTGGAGGGGCCCACTCCCAGCCCGGCCGCTGTGCCCTCCACCCCCACCCTCCTCGCCTGGAAGCAGCTGGCTTCCACCATACCCCAGATGCCTCAGATTCCAGCGTCAGTGCCTCACCTGCCCACTTCGCCCTTGGCAACGACTTCTCTAGAAAACGCCAAGCCCCAGGTCAAACCCGGATTCCTCCAGTTCCAGGAGAAGTGAGTCCCTCGATGATCCGGGAGTCCTGTGTCCCTGTGTGTCTCGGGAGTAGGTGCTAGCAAGGGCAGCTGAGGCAGCCCTGCTCCTCACCGTGTGGTAGCCCTGGCTGTCCCCAGCTTCTCTGGGACACGGTCATCGGGCCATGTCCTTCTAGCCAAAGATGCTGCTGCTCAGACCTCACTGCCTGTTCCCAGAGCAGGCGGCCAGGGGTGGAAGAGATGGTGGAGGTAGCGGCCACTGTTCCGGAGAGGCCAGTGGTGATGCTGTGAGGACCAGCCTGGGTGGGCTGGGAATGGTGGTCGTTGCCTGGCAAAGAGGGCTGTGTCTCCCTCCAGGCCTTCTTGGCTCATGCCCATGGCTGAGTCTCTGCAGGGCAAGCAAAGTCATAGGTGGGTAGCGAGGGGCCAGGTCCCCCTCCACCCACCTGCACAAGGGTCTGAGCTCTCAGGGGTGAAAGGGACCTTCCTCACTGGATGGTGGTGGCTCCTTGCGGCGAGAACGGTGACTCTGTATCATTATGTGTGCGGCTTCCTGTTCTCAATAAAAGTAATAAATTGGACATGAACACACACCACCTGAGTGGCAGCTGTCCTCCCTCTCTGAGCACCTGGGGCTGGGCCCACGGCATGGAAGGGGAACTGTGCTCCTCTCTGTCCCTTTCCCAGTGTCTCTTCCTCTATTCACCTCCCCAAAGTGGCAGCCCTCTTAGTTTCCTGGACTTAGAGTTCCCACCCCAGGTCCGTTGTCAGGGGTGGCTGCCTTGCCAGCCAGAGCAGAAGGCTGCATGGAGCACCCTCCTACCTGCCTGCAGCTTGGGAGGCGGGGCTCCAGGGCGGGGGCTGCCGCTCACAGGGCAGGCCAGCCACCAGGGCTTGCCCAGCACCCCTCATCATCCCACCACTCAGCTGGCTTGTGAGGTTCTGAGTGGGTAGTGGCCCCGAGCCCCGAGCCGTCCCTGGAAGCCCCAGCAGCTGTGAGCCTCAGCAGAACCTGGCACGCTGGGCAGCTGTTCCCACTGGCCCGTGGTAGCAAAGCTTCCTGGTAGGGCTGCCCACCCATCTGCACCTGTCAGTCAGCTACGGCCAGGGCAGTGCCCGTGCCATGTCAGCCAGGCCCTCCCTGGCATCCCGCCAGGGCTGGCAGCACCATCCCTCATTTTCATATCCAAGAAGTGATTGCAGCCGTCCTTATCTCTAATCCTGAGGTGCGGCCATGGAAACTACGTGTCCCAGCATGCTGTGCTCTGGGCAGCCTACATACTGCAATCCTTTATGCACCATCAGAGCTCTAAAAAGAAGGCAAGAAGGCATTCTGGGATCTGTAGTCTCCTCTGGCTGAATCATCCTGTTGAGCTGAAGGGCAGCCCAGGGGCCATTCCTCTTGATTGCACCGCGGGGGCCTGGGGAGTGGAACCCCAACATGAGCAAATGTCAGGACATCGGCGGGGCGGGCACCAGGAATGCCAATGACCTTCTGGGCCGTGGTTTCATTCCAGCGATCCTTGCCTTGCAACGGACTGCAAGTATGCCAACAAGTTCCACTTCCACTGTCTCTTTGGGAACTGCAAGTACGTCTGCAAAACCTCTGGCAAGGCCGAGTCCCACTGCCTGGACCACATCAACCCAAACAACAACCTGATGAACGTGCGAGACCAGTTTGCTTACTACTCCCTGCAGTGCCTCTGTCCCAACCAGGTCAGCAAGGTGGGCGGGGCGGGGCCGGGGGTGGGAGCAGGGAGGCACAGGGCCCAGGACCAGATCCTCCTGGCAGAGACGCTGTTTCTCACACCCTCCAACTTCTGGGAAGGACACTGCCCCTGGGCCTCTGAAGACCCCCGGACAGGAGTTCCGATTGTTCTCAGTTGGTGAGGTCTGTCATTTCATCCTAACCCTCAGTGATAACGACATGCTGAGCAGCTTCTGTGCACTTGGCATCTTTCTGCCCATCCTGGAAGAGCTATGCTCCCTTTCCCCAGAGGCCTACAGTATTAACATAAGCCCATTGGACAGAGAAGAGATTGAACTGTCTGTGCCCCAGACAGGAGGGGCAGATCAGATTGACTATAAACATAAAAGCCTACCCCCAAAATTTGTGGGGGCTGCCTGGCAATGTATTTAGGAGCCTGAGCCTAGATCTGGGCACACAGAGAGGAATGCTTAGATAGATGAGTGATGTCTGCCTAGATCTGGGCACACAGGAGTGCTTGGATAGATTAGTTTTTTCTGCCTAGGTCTGAGCAGACACAGAGGAGTGCTTGGATAGATTAGTGATGTCTGCCTAGGTCTGGGTACACTGAGAAGAGTGCTCAGATAGATTAGTGATGTCTGGCTAGGTCTGGGCACACTGAGAGGAGTGCTTGAATAGATTAATGATGTCTGCAGTGGATGTAGGAATAGGTATGAATACCAGGTAGGATGTTTCAGTCAAATGACAAAGGGGACATATTTTTATGTCCCTGTCACACTTTTTAACATGTGAAAGGTCTTTACACAATTGTGTTTTCTGATTCTGAACATGGAAGTACACACATATGCAAAGGGCCTGCCAGCAGCCCAGAGGCCTGGGGTAGGTGGGAACTTAACAGAAGTCACCTGCCTGTCCTGACTCTTCCGTCCTCCCTTGCAGCATTGCGAGTTCCGGATGCGCGGGCACTACCACTGTCTCCGGACCGGCTGCTACTTTGTGACCAACATCACCACCAAGCTGCCATGGCACATAAAGAAGCACGAGAAAGCTGAGCGGCGGGCAGCCAACGGATTCAAGTACTTCACCAAGCGTGAGGAGTGCGGCAGGCTAGGTACTGAAGGCCAGGGCCGGGGGACGGAATTGCAGCAAGTGGCAGGGCTGTGGCTCTGCCCCCTGAGGCCCTGTGGCCTGGGCCATCTCTCCTGGGACCCACTTCTTGCCCCTGCGCATCAGGCTTCATGTTTTGTTAAAAATGACATGGATATCACAGGCCAGGCTTGTCAAACCAGGAAAACAGTCCAAACCCCAGGAGCCCAGGAAAACAGTCCAAACCCCAAGAGCCCAGGAAAAGGGGCAAGGGTGACTCAGAGCGCTGCACCTCCGCTCCCCCCGGGGAAAATGCCTGGAGCCTTGTCTCTGGTGTACAGGCCTCCGCTTGATTCCTTTTCCTTTTCTTTTCAACAGGGCCTTGCAGGTAAGTCTTAGGAACGCTTGGAGTTCACTGCCCTGGGATCTCTTCCCATGGCTTTAACTACCAGGGTTTTATCCAGGTTGGACTGTGGTTTATTCATTGTTCAGCACACATTTATTGAGGAGCTGCTATGTGCCGGGCTCTGTGCTCTCGCAGTAGGTGGGGTGGAGGGTGACAGATGAGGTAGTTTTTGAGTTTTTGAGTTTTTTGAGTGTTTGCTGTAGCCAGCACCGGGCTTGGTGCTGGGGATCTGGTGGAACAAGCAGGTACACTGTGGACTCAGCTAGAGCATCGGTGACCTGGGGTGACCTGGAAGGAGGTGGCCATGGGGCAAGGAAGAGGAAGCCACAAGTGGTCCTGAGCTCTGCTGCAGGTGCCATGGAGTTAACTCCGCTGCTGAGAGCTGAGCCCTCGGCAGGGAAGTTGTCCCCTCTCCCCGCCCTAGAACAAGGCCTCTCTGAGAAGCTCATTGGCCTCAGTTTGCCCTGGGGACACCATGGAGAGAGGGCTCCAGGGCCAGCAGACAGAGGGCAGAGCTCACCCTCCGGCCTCAGGATGGAGCCACATGTTTATGGGCCTGCAGATGTGAGGCAGGAATCTGCCCAGGAAGAGACTAGAAACTAAAGGCAGGTGGGAGCCAGGCAGGCTGGACGCAGACACCCAGGCCACATGCAAGGCCTGTTGTGACTCAGGTGGTCATGGTGGCAGGGTCCTGGGGAGCAGAGGCGGGGCTGCTGCCTGCAGCAGACTGGCCATTGCATAGGGGAAGGGGAAGGTTCTCCAAGTCAGCTGCCAGAAAAAAAAGGAAACACACCTTTCCTGCAAGTATTAATTCAAAAATAATTCATGACCTGAGAGAGGGCTGGTAATCATGGCAACAGATGTCAACACTCGGCGGCCTGTGCTGCGCCTGGGCTCAGTTTACAGATGTCAGGGGATTCTGCAGTTACCGGTATTTACTCAACTTTGGGTGTTTTTGGTGGTAGTTGGGGCCAAACAAAGCTGGGGGATGATATGAGACACCTGGCCAGCGCAGGTGCCACGGCAACGGGCAGGCCTTCACCTGCCCTTTGCTGATACCGTTTCAATCCGGCCTGCTCTATTTGTTCTCAGCCCAGAGCAAAGCAGAGGTGGGCGGGGGCAGGGCAGAGGGCCAGCCGGCCTGCGGCCATCTCAGCAAGTCTAGGGGCAGGCGGCATCTGGGCTCCCCAGAGAGATGTGGGGACGGGTGGCATGCTGGGAGGCGGCTGATCTAGTGGATAGGCCTTAGGGTCCCCTGCCTTGGAGTCCCTGCACCTCTCAGCGTGTGGGGCAGGGAGGGGGAGCCGGCCTGCCTTGTCACATGTCTCCATGCTAAGCTAGAGGGGAAGCCCAGGCTTTGGACAGCCTGGTGGCCTGGGACTTTCTGGGGGTGAGGTGGGGTGGTACAAGCCCTCCTCATAGGAACGCCACCTTGGGGGAAGTACGTCTTTCCCAGACGCCATCTGCTTTGTTGGCCGCATTCCCTGTGCCCAGAACAGAGCCCCGCATGCAGTGGATGCCATGAGCGCTGGCCAGTCGGGGGAGGCTCACGGCCCAGGGGGGCTGTGTCCACAGGCTGCAAGTACAACCAGGTGAACAGCCACTTCCACTGCATCCGGGAGGGCTGCCAGTTCTCCTTCCTCCTCAAGCACCAGATGACCTCCCACGCCCGGAAGCACATGCGGAGGATGCTGGGGAAGAACTTCGATCGCGTGCCCCCCTCCCAGGTGAGAGCCAGGCGCAGGCAGGCCGTCCCCCCCGCCCCAGGGTGCCAATAGGGCATCACCCTCGTCACGCTCTTGCTTCCAGATGGTGGGCCAGGCCACCCAAAGCAACAGTTGGCCCCTTGGGGGTGGTACGCCCCCAGCCCAGCTTCCTCAGGGCCCCCACACTTCCTTTCAGGGCCCCCCGAGCCTGATGGACACTGAGACAGACGAGTACATGGATTACACCGGCTGCAGCCCGGGTGCCATGTCCTCCGAGTCCTCCACCATGGACCGAAGCTGCTCCAGCACCCCAGTGGGCAACGAGAGCACCGCAGCAGGTGAGCAGGCGGCCAGGGAGGGACGTCGGGAGCCGGGAGCTCCCAGCCTGGGACAGGCCCTTCCTCCCCAGGCCCAGCAATGCTGGGTTCAGCTTAGGACAGGAGGTTCATGGTCAAGCAGCCCCAAAAGAGGATGGGCCAATGTGTGGCAGAGCCAGCTGGTCTGAGGGACATGGGTCATTGAGGCCACCTCCTGCCACCCGGCCCACCTCCCCAGCACTCTGCCCTCAGCTTCCGTTTCCAGGAGGAGACCCAGGCTTGGGCTTTCTGAGAGCTGTCGGTTAAGACGGCACAGCCCCCAGCCAGGGGGCAGGTGGGCCCCAGCGGCTCTGGCCCCAGAGTGGGGTCCGCCTCAGCCCACTGTGATCTGCGCCTGCACTGCCTCCCCCTCCCATTCTCTCTCTCATCTGCCACTTCCCCCTTCTCTTCTCTGTGGCCTCTGTCTGCTCCTCATCTGTTCACACATTTTCATCATACTTGCTTCTGCCATTGGGTTTCTCATTTTGGTTTCTTTTTTGTTTTGTTTCTTTGTTTTGGTTTTCGTTTTTTTTTTTTCTGCTTCTCTCCACCCTCTCCAGGCCTGCCCGGCTCCTCCTCCTCCTCCTCTTCCTCCTCCTGCTGCTGCTGGTGATGAGGCTGCCCGCGTGGCTCCGCAGCCCCCACTGACCCCATCCTTCTCTCCGGCCATGCTCCGGGCGCCCCTCCCCTCCCTCCCATGTCTCTTTTCTCCACCCTGTCTCTCATACTCTCTGCTCAGCGCCACTCTCGGAGCCGCCCGGGGCCTGGCCCACCCCGTCAACAGCCCGCCCAGCTTCCCGCCCATCACTGCCACTCCAACTCCAGTAAAAAGTGACGTCCCCCTAGTTCAGGACGCCGCAGGTAACTCACACATGCCTTCTCCACCAGTGTCTGTCACCCTAGCTGACCCTCGAGATCCTCGAGACTGTGGTCCAGGTTCTGATCCTTTTCTGCAGCCTTCCGGGCCAAGGACAGGGCCTCCCAGCATCCCTCACAGCCCAGCACCACCCAAGATCAGAGAGCCTGGTCCTTGTCCCAAGGACAGCTCCTCTCGGCTCCTGCTCAGCATTGGGCGGGCCAGAAGGTCACCACCAGGGCTCCCTGGGGTTCACTCCATCTCAACAACTGGCCAAAGCCCCGAGATGGCCATGTCTGCCCCACCCCTTGATTCCTGCTTCAAGGCCAAGCCCATCCCTTCTGCTCTGGGGAATTCACCTACGGCCTGGCACAAGGGAGGGCCAGAGATGCTCTTGGGAAAGCTACTGGGGCCTGGGACCTGTCCGGTCTGGAGGGTCCTGATACTAGCCTCGACCCCCAGCCCCAGAGCCAAGCAGGAAGAGGCCCAGGCCCCGGGCAGTATTCAACAGCCAAGGTGCCTCCTGGTCCCACCCTGTACCTGCTGCCCCACGGGCACAGGGCCTGCCCTGCACTGCCCTTTGGTGTAGTCATCACTCTGACTCTGCCTCCTCCTCCATTCATTTCTACCTCACATTCTGTCTGAGTCCCAGGCACTAGGCTAGCCCAGGGGGATGGTAAAGAGCAAGGCAGAGGGTCCCCCCACATGGAATTCAGCCCAGGGGAAGTTCTGTCGTTGACATAACCAGATAGAGCCTTGTGACTTCAGACCCAAAGCAGCCACTCCTCACCCACCTGGATCCCCAGGCCCCAGGCCCTCCCTTGCCCGCTGCCAGGTACCCCAGCCCATCACAGTCCTTGTTTCTCTCCACCTGCTGAGGGTGGGGGACTTGGTCTAGCTCCCAGGTGGACAGTGCAGCAGGGTAGATTCCAGGCAGGTTCAGGAGGACTGGGAGGTCAGTGTGTGGGGGAAGCCTGGAGGGTGCCCACCCTACCCCCTGGGTAGGCTAGGCCTGGGTCAAGGAGGGGGCGGTGCTAGGATGGCTGCCCCTCCCCAGCTGCCTGTGCAGCCACAGGGAGCTGCTCTCCCCTCACCCTGAATGGAAAGAGACTAACGAAGGCACAACTACACAGTGGATTGGGTGGCCCTAGTAACAGGGCATCATAAGCCCAGAGAGGCAGTTGGAGCCAGGAGATAGGGCACAGATAGACACCCATCCGCTGGCTGAGTCCTTACTCCAGTCCTGGCCCCTCAGCAGAGCTGCCTTCTAATCCACTTGGGGCAGAAAACCCCAAGACCTTAAAGAACCTCCTGGCACCAAGGAGAAGGTGTTCCTCGGGGCAGGGAGTTACAGCTCCAAACAGCCCCAGGGCGCTTGGCATCCCTGCTGGGAGTGGGCTGGTCCCATGCACAGACAGGCGGGCAGCCGGGGAAACTGGTTAGCCAGCGGGAGAAGGAGCCGGCCTGTCCCTCATTAGAGGCAGGCGTGTGATGGCATCCTGGCCCCTGTCCAACTTGTGTAATTACACTCTGCCGACCTAGATTCCCCCTTCAGCTTCAATTAGCTCCAGGACGTGTCCTCACTTCCCACCCAAACTGGCCAAGAAGCAGCCACCACATCCCCTAGAGCCACTTGCTCTGCCACCCACCAAGGCAGACACCCATGTGGCTGTCCTTCAGGCATGAGATGACCCAGGGGGACACCTGGGGCTCCCCGGCTGTCCTGAGGTAGTTAATAGGAGAGATCCCCAGAGCCACGGGAAGCCGAGGAGTTGTTCCCAAATGCTGCCTTCTGGCCACCATGCTGGGATTGGGGACCCCTGAGGGTTCGATCCTGGGAATGGTGCCCACGTGGGCTACTGATCCGGCCCTCCTCCCCAGGGAACACCATCTCCATGCCGACAGCCTCGGGGGCCAAAAAGCGCTTCTGGATTATTGAGGACATGTCGCCCTTCGGCAAGCGGCGCAAGACAGCCTCCTCTCGCAAGATGCTGGACGAGGGCATGATGCTGGAGGGCTTTCGGCGCTTCGACCTCTACGAGGACTGCAAGGACGCGGCCTGCCAGTTCTCCCTCAAGGTCACCCACTACCACTGCACGCGCGAGAACTGCGGCTACAAGTTCTGTGGGCGCACGCACATGTACAAGCACGCTCAGCACCACGACCGCGTGGACAACCTCGTGCTGGACGACTTCAAGCGCTTCAAGGCCTCGCTCAGCTGCCACTTCGCCGACTGCCCCTTCTCGGGCACCAGCACGCACTTCCACTGCCTGCGCTGCCGCTTCCGCTGCACCGACAGCACCAAGGTCACGGCGCACCGCAAGCACCACGGCAAGCAGGACGTGATCAGCGCCGCGGGCTTTTGCCAGTTCAGCTCCAGCGCCGACTGCGCCGTGCCCGACTGCAAGTACAAGCTCAAGTGCTCGCACTTCCACTGCACCTACCCCGGCTGCCGCCACACGGTCGTGGGCATGTCGCAGATGGACTCGCACAAGCGCAAGCACGAGAAGCAGGAGCGCGGCGAGCCGCCCGCCGCCTCCCCCGGCGCCGAGGGCCCCGCGC